CCCCCCCCCCCCCGAATCCCCAGGCCTCAGCCCCCCACCCGGCCCCACCTTCCTCTGCTGCTTCTCCCAGGCGGGATCGAGCAGCAGGTCCCGGTCCCAGTCGTCTTCCTGGGCCATGTAATCGCCGTTAGGGCCCGGCCCGTTCCCGCCGTAGTGGTAGGGCTGCCCGGCGCTGTGGTAATCCACCATGGCGCTCCGCTGCGCTCCGCTCCCACCGCCGCGCCGACGGCACTGCGCCCTCCAACACTGCGCATGCGCGACGCGCCCACGCGAGACCACGCCCCCTCCCGAAGCCCCGCCCACTCGGCGCACCCCTCAGACCGCACCCACTGGAGACCCCGCCCACTCGGCGCCCACCCTCCCTTTATTAATATTCATGAGGCGGGATGAGCCGGGTTTGCAGCTCCTCCTTCTTATTAATATTAATGACCCCACAATGCGCCATCGGAACGCTCGCGTGAGTATTAACCCCCTCCCCTCCCAATTAAGCAACTAGCGAGCTCTTGATTGCGCACTCATTCATTAACCGTTATGTATTTAACGAACCCACCCGTCTGCAGCACCTTAGATACAGGGCCATTAATATTAATGAGCAGCCCTGAGCACCTTGGGCACATGCTCATTAATATTAATGAGCAACACCAAGCACCCCACCACCTACCAATTATTGAAACGATCACATTATTATTAACGAGCTCCTGTACGCAGCACACACGTGTACCAATTAATAGCCAATTAATTGCACGGCTGTTGAACCAACACCTCTTAATTATTATGCATAACGCCCCAGTCATTTATTATGCATAATTATGATATGAATATTCATGGCGGCACTCCCCCCCAGCAAGAAGGCCACCCCACGGGGATCCGACCCCACTGCTCCCCCAGGCAGCACACAGCACACTGGAGGTTTCTCTTTTACTTTGAGACAATTAAAATCCACCGTGTTAACGAGGACGGGGGGTTGGGGCTCAGAGCGACGAGGCCATGATGCTGGAGACACCTGCAGGAAGGTCGGGGAGGGGAGGAGGGGGGTCAGCAGCAGGCCGGGTTTCTGCCTGCCCCCTCCCTGCCCCCTGCACCCACTGTCAAAGTCGATTTTCTCCACGATGTTCTTGGGTTTGATGCTCTCCTCCTGGTTGCAGATGAACACCTTGCCGGGCTCCGGCTCCGTCCATCCGTATTTGCTCATCCACACCTTCAGCTGTGCCTCTGAGCAGGGGGGGGGACGGGGACAGAGCACCGTGTCACCCCTCTGTCACCTAACGTCCCCCACCCCCACCCCGTACCCCTTCTCCCCCTACCTGAGAGGTCCCCCAGCATCTCAGCCAGCAGCCAGCGGTCAATGTGTTGGTATGTGATGCCCACCACGTGGCAAATGACTGCAGGGAGAAACCTGGCTCAGTCCTGGCCCTAAAACACCCCCAAAAGCCTCTCAGCAGCCCCCGCTTCCTCCCCCAGATGCCACCTCACATTTTCGGACAGAGTCCTCGAAGCCAGCAATCCCATCCAACAGCTCCATGTTCTCATCCAGGGCTTGCTGTGGGGACAAAACACCGTTAGCGCCTCCATCCCTGCAGTGCCAACGACCCCACGGGGCTGCGAGGACTCACCCAGAAGGACTGGAAATGGCACGTCTCCAGCAGCTCCCCCAGGTAAAGGATCTGCCGGATGGGCCGCTCCTCCTGCTGCCCACGGGCGTCAAGGGAAACAAACGAGCCCACCCCAAATCCCTGCCCTCTGCCGCGCTTTGGGGGGTGGCGCACACCAAACCCACGCTCAGCGTGGAGCGAGGCACCCCAAACCTCCACTCTCCCACTCGGCAGGACACCTCAAATCCCCGCTCGTGACGGATGGGGGCATCCATTCCAAAGCCCACAAAGCTCAATAAGGTACAGCGAACTGCCCTAGGAAGCCCTTAGCGTCCACCAGAACAGCCTGGAGAGCTGCAGAGCACCGCCATCGCCTCACAGACACCCGAGTTTGGGCTCAGCTCAGCATCACAGCCAGCTCCTAAACCCCCCACCCGACCCTTAAGCCCCCCCAAAGGGGGAGGATACATGGGCCTGGTCGATCATGCATTTGCAAAGCGTGAAGTCAGTATGGGGGAGGTTGGTGAGGGCCTTCAGCAGGATCTGCGCCGTCACCGTGGTCTGGAAGAAGGCAGGGTTGAACTGATACCTGTGTGCAAGGGGGGGGGGGGAGGGTTATGGAGACCAATAGGGGGACAAGAAGGGGGGGTTTGGAGAGCAACAGGGGGACAAAACGAGAGGGGGGTTATGGAGAGCAATGGGGGACAAAAGGGGGCCGTTACGGGGGGGCAGAGGAAGAGTTTTGAGGAGCGTCCTCCCCCGCCCTGCTCACAGCTTCAGCACAGCCAGGTTGGCCTCCAGATCGTAGGCATTCTCCTTAGCCTGCGTCTCCACGTAACGCTCCAACGTCGCCAGGTTCTCAGGGTTGTACCTAAAGAGAGACAAAAAGTCACCGCAAAGAAGCAGCGACTCGGCCTCCACGAAGCCTCGGCTCCCCGCAGCCCCCAACTCCCGGCTCCACGCCCCGATCTCAGGCCTCAACCCCCCGGCTCCAGGCTCGCCCCGCACACCGCCATCCCCTCCGCTTCCCCCGGTCCCGGTACCGATCGATTCCCCGCAGCAATTTGCCCACGTTGGCCCTCATCTGCTCAAACAGCGCCATGACGCGAGGAGCTTCAACCACCGGAAAGGAAGAGAAAGAGCCGGCTTCCGGTGGCCGCGGCAACTTCCGCTTCCGGCGAGGGCGCTCGCTAAGCATGATGGGAAAGCGAGTTAAAAACACGCACTGCGCAACCGCAGAAAGAGAAAGCAGCAGAAAAAAGGGGGGAGGGAGATATACCCGAAGGCCACGCCCACACGATCAGACCACTCCCACACCATCAAAGCCACGCCCACAAACTGGCAGGCCGTGCCCAGACTGACAAGCCGCCACACCGACAAGCCACGCCCACAAATGGGCAGACCACGCCCACCGCTCGCGGCGCCCTCTTCCGGTCGTGGCACGTGGCACCGGCCAGCCTGCGCGGGGCTGGGCCTGACTCAGCCAAACTGGGCCAAACTGGGCCAAAGTGGGCCAAAAACGGGGGTAAAGTGAGGTCAAAACTCACCCACATCCCAGAGGGGATCGAAATAAGAGCCACTGGGCGGGAGGGAGGCAGGCTGTGCTCAGCTGGGCAGCGTGAGGCTTCCTGGGAGGGAGCATTGGACCGGGGGAGTTAATGAAAGAAAACCGTGAGGCAGGGGGGGGGGGAGGGGTGCACGCGGAGCCGCACTGGGAACGTTCCAGAACCGGGCTGTGCTGCGCTACAGCCGCACCGGGATCCTCTGGAGGCCCACTGGGGTTTAACGGGCAAACGGGGGGCTGAGCTGAGGCTGGAGTGGGAGAAAATGGGGTCGAAGTTGGGCCCTGATGGGATCCGTGAAGCCTGGCCGCTCCCTGCCCTCGCAGCACCTCGGTTGGGGGGGGGG